CATAATTGTCGAATTTAATTTAATTAACAGAAAAAATCAAATTAAGAAGTGACATCAAATATCTTGATAGAAAAACTCATAGTCTAATGATGACGTATGATTGCAATTAAAATAAAATTGAACCAAACTATGTAAAAAATTCCAGAAATTATAAATATAGTTAAGAAATTCAACGACTGAAGAAGACAAACTAGACCTAGCAATCGTCTCCTTTTTCTATTTTGATTGTCTTTTCTCTAATTTGGTGAAGCGTAGAGAAAATTCTTTTGATCTCCCTAAACCAAGCCCAAATTTCACAAATTAGGAAGAATGTTTTTGAAATTAACCACAAATTTTGTTAAGCCCTAGAATACCGAGCTAAAGAAGAGAAAATGTGAGATTTTCAGAAATGAAGGCTTGCAAAACCCTAGAATACCAAGCTAGAGAAGTGAGAAAAGGAAAGAGGACAGAGATTGTGGGCGTCATTGGTTGCGGCTGCGGCCGTTACTCCGTGAGCCTGCACCTTCAACATCGAGGAGATAGAGAGAGGCTATTTGAGATAGAAACCGCTATCTCATAAATTCACGATTAACTTCCCTTTCCTTTGCTGCCTTTTTTAGAAAATAAAAAATATTAGAAGTAAATAAAATATTCGGATATTTTTCCCTCCAAAAAAAAAATGTTCGGATATTTCACCAAATACTTGTGAGTTATTATTTTTATTCACCTTATATCCAGAAAATTTTCACCAAATGACCAACGGATGTTAACTCCGTTAGTCATTAGGGTTAAGTACGCCACATGGCTGGATCTAATTGGTTATTTTTAAAAATTATTTAACTAATAATTATTATACTACCTCCGTTAAATGTTATGTGCAACTTTGGAATATTTTATATCTCACACATAATACCCCAAAGTTGCACATAACATTTAACAGAGGTAGTATATATTTTAAAAAAAACTAAATTAAAATTTCAAAAAAAAAAAAAATCACCTTTAACCCCAACCTGTCACCTTCTAATGGCGAACCCTAAGCCCAACCACCACCCCACAACCGCCACCCATCAGCCTCCTCACTACACCGATGTCGCCCCTTCCACCAACCCCGCGCTGGTGCTCGCTCCTTTCTCGAACCACCGCATTATTTTCCCTCTTTCCTTTGAATCGCAAAACCCCTCACCGTCGAACAACCTAAGCCAAAAATTCGGCAACCACCCCCGAAACCCTTTCGTCGACAACCCAATCCCTTCCCCCACACCGCTGCTACCCACCTAAGTCGAAAACCACCACCTTGAAACATTAAACCCCCAAAATCAAAACCCTAGGTTTTAGTTTTTGGGGTTTTTGATTTTGGTAATCGACGTGGTGTTTCATGGGGTTGGAGATGGAAGGGGGAGGGGGATTTGGGTTTGCCGGTACTCTTAGCCAAAAACTACCACATCTAAACATTAAAACCCCAAAATCAAAACCTTAAAAATCAAATCTAGGGTTTCGATCTTGGGTTTTTCATTTTGGGGTTCGGCGTGGTGGTTCAGGGGATGGATACGACTGGGGGGAGGTGCGGCTTGGGTTCGCTGGCAAGGTGATGGGATGACACCGACGGTGGGGAGGGGAGGGGTTTCCGAAGAAGATATTAAGGGGCTTTTAAAATTGGGGAGTGGGTGGTTTGTGTTAGGTTTAGGGTGGCAATGTCTTAGCAGCGTGGGCTCGTTTGTGTCAGGTTTGGAGTCGCGCCGACGCTAGGGTTTTTGACGGAAACCACGCTGGCGGGTGGTGGCTGGGGCTGGGCTGTGGTTATGGTTATGGTTATGGTAGGTGAGTTATGTTTTTTTATATGTTTATTTTTTATAATTAATTAGATTGTTATTTTAAAATTTAAATTATATAAATAACAACTAATCGTAGGTTGCCACGTGGCAAATTTAGCCTTAATGACTAACGGAGTTAACGTCCGTTAGTCATTTGGGCATTTTGTAACATTTTTGTGAAACTTACGGGTATACGGTGAATTTGAAATTTTTCATGGGTATATGGTGAATAAAAAAAATAGCTCAAGGGCATTTGGTGAAATTTTCGTAGAATATTTGATAAGAAAAAAAAAAATGATTGAGCATAGGTGTTACGACCAAGTGTTACCTAATATCAATGTGTTACAACAAAGTGTTACCTAATATTAAAGTGTTACAAATAATGTTACCTAATATCAAAGTGTTACAAAAGTGTTACATAAAAATCAAACAACCATAAAAATTTTAAAGTGTTACCAATAGGTGTTACTTAAGCCCAATTTTGTAGTAGTGATATATGGCACCCCCGTGCAGGATTTCTAGGCTGAATCAGTTGCAGACTGCCTCTCATCTTTTGGTTGTGCACGGCCGTGTACATGGTAGCACGTTCGTGTTGATTAGGCCGCACGTTCGTGCCAAGTCTAGCACGTCCGTGCTGACCTGTAGCCGTGCCTGACTCTTGTTTTCTTAGTCTTTTTTATTTGGGGGTCTTTATAAATAACCCCTTGAGCTCATTTGTATGGAGCAAAGTTTTTAGAGCTTTCTCTTAGTTTGTAATTGTAGAAACACAAATATTCTCAAATCATTAGTTAGATTTTAATTATTAGCTTGGAAATTTCAATATCAATCATTGTAGAAGACAAGTTCCACCATTGTTATTCAAGTTGAAGCTTCTAGTAACTTTTTTCTCACTCTTCTCTTCCATTTTAATTGCTTTTATTGTTAATTATTTTGCTTAATTCTTGTATGCTTAGATTTTTATTTAGCTTAATCCTTAGTTTGAATCTTGTTCATGAGTTACTTGAAATTCTTAATTGCTTTAATCTCCATGGATTGTGAGTAGTCTAATTTTCTAGGGTTTGGGTAAAACCCTCAATATAGTCACTAATTACTTATTGCATGTGTTAATTTGGTATTTTTTGGGTGTTAATTTGTTAAGCTCAAGTGGTTTAATTGCTTAGTTCTTGTATATGGCTATTGCTAGAACTATTATCCAAGGTTTCTCAACGAAGGATCGAGAGATGAACTTGAGTTAGCTCCCTTATGCTTAATTGACTTGAATTTCCATGAGAATAGGAATTTCCAGTCAAGGGAATGTTTTTGTCATCCTGATTATGCTTTAATATTTGTTTTATGCTTTGTAACCACGATAGTTGGTTGTATTCATGATTCAAGTAATCCCTCTAGCTTGAGAGAGTAGTTGGGTGCTTTAGATGACTTCCCCTATATTATCCCCTTAATTTATCCTTGTTTGCTACATGCTATTTGTGATTTGTGACGAAGTTGAGTGGTATATCCCGAAACCTAGAATCCTCTAAATATTGTTAATCACCCCTTAATATTAGTTGATTCGAATTAGTACTTATTACATAAAACCAAACCAATATTGACTTCATTTAGCTTATTTAAACGGTAGTATCTCGGTGGTTGATTCAATGCCTTTCTTGGGTTCGACCCTTTCTTACCTTTGCTATTAGCTAGTGAGACCAAGACAGGAGTTTTATCTTTGGTAGGCTTGACGACGGCCTATCAAATTTTGGCGTTGTTGTCGGGGAGACAAAGTCACATTGAATGTATTATTGTTGAATGAGTCTAAGTGTGTATATTTGTATCATAATTTTTTTATCGATTTTTGCTTAATTGCGTTTTTTTTACCTTGTGATAGTCATTTCTAACGTTTTCTGAGCTTTGTTTGACTTTGCATGACACAAAAGAGTAAGAAATCACCGCTAATTTTCGTGGATTTAGAGTTAAACAATACCTTAAGGAACGTAAGGAGGCTCTTGCAAGGTACTCTGGAATTTTCCATTGTCTATTCGGATTGCGAATCGGAAGAGGTTCTTGGTAGCAACAAAGAAGAAAACATGGGTGATAATGATCCTCCTCCACCCTTGCAACGAGATTATGGCCACCCCAACGCATTCCAACTACGGAGTGGTATACGTCTCCCCACTACGAATGCAAATAATTTTGAGCTTTCACCTCAACTAATCCGTATGATACAAAGTGATCAATTTGGTGGTAGTTCTCATGAGTGTCCTTTTTCTCATTTGGACAACTTTCTCGAGTTGTGCATAACCATAAAGCAAAACAACATTACGGAAGAGTTCATCCTTATGCATATATTTCAATTTTCCCTCCATGACAAAGCAAAGCATTGGTTGAGAACAGTAGAAAAGGGATCATTGACCACGTGGGATGAAGTCAGTAGCACTTTCCTTGGAAAGTATTGTCCACCCGAAAAGACCGCCGAACTAAGGAAAAATCACCAATTTAAACCAAGAGATTGATGAAACGTTAAGTGAAGCTTGGGAGCATTTCAAGGACTACACTAGAAAATGCCCACACCATGGTTTCACATCATGGATCATTGTTTAAAGCTTTTATGATGGTCTTACTCCTACTTCAAGGGCCAACCTTGATAACGGGGCCGGTGGTAGCCTTAAAAAGCTATTGGTGGATGATGCGTACAAGATGATTGAAAAAGTGGCAAAGCACTATGCATATGGAGGTGATAAAAGGCAACCACAAGCAAAGAAGGGCGGAATCCACAATCTTAGTGCAATAGACCTTATTGCATCAAAGTTTGACATGCTAGCTCACAAGATAGATCAAGACACCCTTACATCTCCAAGCTCTTCTTCACAACAAGTCATGTCTTGTGAGACTTGTGGAGGAAATGATCACTTGTCCTCCAATTGCAACTCAACTAACCAAGAACGAGCGGAGGCTATTGGGCAAAGAAATGATAAATACTCCCAACCCTACGATTAAGGTTGAAAACCCCAACAAAACACGGGTTGGAAGCAACAAAACCAAGGCCCCTCTCAAAACCAATACAACCAACCCCATCCACAATACCAACAATCTCCATACCGTCACCCTAATTAAAGGGACCAAAACCAACAAAGGCAACAATATAACCAACCCGCTCCTCCATTTCCTCAAAAGTCTAGCCTTGAAGCCACGCTTGAGACTTTCATTACACAACAAGGAAGAAGCAATGCGAATATGAAAACGAACATCCAACAACTTCAAGCACATAACAAGATAATTGAGAATCAATTAGCTCAAATTGCGCAACAAGTTAAAAGTTCATCCTCCAATCCTAGCGGTCACTTCCCAAGCTCAACGGTTGTGAACCCAAAGGAGCAAGCAAAGGCCATTACTTTTAGATTGAGGAGAGGTTATGAAGGGTCGGTTATGAGTGAAGAGGAGCCACAAAATAGAGATGGGGGAGTTGTGGTGAGAAATGAGGATGAATTTGAAAATTAAATAGTTGATGTTGAGAGAAAGGAGTCACAAAAGAAAAATGAGGGAGATAAGGAAAGAGTTGAAAAGCCCCATGAATGTATACAAGCCTCCATTCCATTCCCTCATAGGATTGTAGAGAAGAAGTTGAATGAGAAGTTTTCAAATTTTCTTAAAGTCATGAGAGGACTTCAAGTGAATATCCCCTTTCTTCATGCTATGTCACAAATGCCTACCTATGCAAAATTTTTTATAAGGATATTCTGTCCAACAAGAGTAGGCTTGAGGAGAGTGTAACCATCTCCCTTCCTAAGGAGGTGAGTGCTATCATTCAAAATAAGCTTCCTCAAAAGCTTGGTAACCCCGGTAGCTATGCAATGCCGGTGAAGATTGGAGACTTGGAAGCTATGGATGCTTTGTGTGATCTTGGGGAAAGTGTGAGCTTGATGCCCTATTCTATTGCAAAGAGTTTGAAAGTTGTAGACTTGAAGCCAATAAGAATTTCCTTACAAATGGCCGACCGCACGGTTAGGCTACCTTTGGGAATTCTTGAAGATGTACCAGTTCAAGTCGGGAGAGTATTTATACCTTGTAATTTCGTAGTGATGGAAATAGAAGAAGACACAAGGGTACCCCTCATCTTGGGGAGAGCCTTTTTAAACAACCACCGTAGGTGTTGTAATTAATATGAAAGAAGGAAGGTTAACATTGAATGTGGGAGATGAGAAAATTTCATTCTCATTCTCCCAAACATTGAAAAAGCCATCGATTGATGAAGTTCATAGAGTTGACACATTGGAAATGGACTTAGAGGAGTTCCAAGAGAATTTGATTGAAGGAGATCCTTTACAAGCTATCCTAACGAGAGGCTTAGTTGAGGAAGGTAAAGAAACAAGGGGGTATGATCTTTTGCTCAACTAACCTTTAGTCCACAATGAAATGAAAATGGAAGTGCTTAATATGGAGGTAAAAGAGAAGAGGACTATGCCTCCTCATAAGGTTGAACTTAAACCCCTTCCCCCTCTACTTAAATATGCTTTCCTTGATGATAGTGAAGCTTATCCCGTTATTGTCAATGCCAAGCTTGATGATATTTCTCTTGATAAACTCCTAGTTGTTCTAAAGGAGTATAGAGACGTTATTGGGTACAAAATTGATGAAAAGGGATAAGTCCCACAATTTGCATGCATAAGATTTTACTTGATGATGATCATGCTTCTTCTATTGAGCGCCAAAGAAGGCTCAATCCAAATATGAAGGAAGTTGTGAAAAACGGAAAGTTTTAAAACTCCTTGAAGCGGGCATAATCTACCCTATCTCCGATAGTAAGTGGGTTAGTCCAGTTCAAGTTATGCTTAAAAAGGAGGCATGACCATCATTAAGAATGATAAGGGTGAGACCATTTATACAAGGCCAGTCACCGGGTGGAGGATGTGCATTGATTATAGAAAATTAAATAAATCCACCCGGAAAGACCACTTTCCACTCCCCTTCATTGATCAAATATTGGAAAGACTAGCATCACATAGTCATTATTGCTTCTTGGATGGATATTCTGGATTCTTCAAAATCCCAATTCAACCAGAGGACCAAGAAAAGACTACATTCACATGTCCTTTTGGCACCTCTGCTTATCGAAGGATGCCATTTGGACTTTGTAATGCACCTTCCACATTTCAAAGGTGTATGATGTCTATTTTTTCCGACATGCTTGAATCATCAATTGAAGTATTCATGGATGACTTTTCTGTTTTTGGTTCATCTTTTGACATTTGCCTTTTGAATTTGATTAAAGTGTTGAAAAGATGTCAAGAGGTGAATTTGGTCTTGAATTGGGAAAAATGTCATTTCATGGTAGAAGAGGGCGTTGTTCTTGGTCATGTGATTTCTAGTAGGGGCATTAAAGTATATTGTACCAAAATTGAGGTCATTGAGCGCCTCCCACCCCCTACAAATGTGAAGGGGATAAGAAGCTTTCTTGAACACGCGGGTTTTTACCGCCGGTTCATAAAGGATTTTTCAAAAATCGCAAATTCGCTCACTCAATTGTTGGTAAAGGATACCCCTTTTGTGTTTACTAATGATCGTTTGCTAGCATTTGATAGGTTAAATGAGGCATTGAATTCAGCTCCTATCATTCAACCCCCTAATTGGGAGCTTTCTTTTGAGCTCATGTGTGATGCTTCGGATTTTTCCATTAGGTCCATTCTTGGATAAAGGAAGGATAAGAAGCTCCATGCCATCTACTACACTAGCCAAACATTGGATGATGCACAAAAGAATTACACAACCATAGAAAAGGAGTTTCTAGCCATTGTTCATGCAATCTAGAAGTTTAGGTCCAACTTGTTGGGGTCTAAAGTCATAGTCTTCACCGACCATTAGGCCTTGAAGTATCTCTTGCCCAAGAAGGAACCAAATCCAAGATTGATACAGTGGGTCTTGCTCTTACAAGACTATGACATTGAGATTAGAGACAAAAAAAGGTGCTAAAAATGTTGTGGCCGATCATCTTTCACAGTTGCCTATCTTTGTAGGTGATCTTGATAACTTGCCAATCGATGATCTGTTTCCGGATGATCAATTATTTGCTATACTTCAAGCACCAGTACCATGGTTTGCGGACATTGCAAAATATTTATCTTGGTCTATTCTTCCTCCTGACCTCTCCTATCAACAAAAAAGGAAGTTTCTACATGATGTTCATCAATACTTTTGGGACGACCCCTTGCTCTTCAATTAAGGTGTTGATGGATTTTTTAGAAGGTGTATCCCAGATGATGAAATTGAAGATGTTATTACAATGTGACACACCTCACCTTGTGGAGGGCATATGAGTGCTAACAAAACTTTGGCAAAAATCTTACAATTTGGTTTTTATTGGCCTACAATGTTCAAAGATGTGTGGGGTGTAGTGAAATCTTGTGACTAGTGTCAAAGAAGTGGTAATATTTCAAGAAGAAGTGAGATGCCTTTGAAGAACATTCTTGAGGTAGAGATTTTTGATGTATGGGGCATTAATTTTATGGGAAATCTCAAATGACAATGGTGAACCGTTTAAGGTGAATGGCCAAAGGCTTAAGGCATAATTTGACGATTTTGTGCATGAAGAAGCCAAGGTTGTTCACCTTGATGAGTTTGATGTTCCTTACTCTCATTGATTCCGCCATGTCGTCAAGCTAGTGACGTTAAAAGAGTGCTTCCGGGAGGCAACCCGAGTTTCTCAACCCCCTCTCTCATAAACTATTATTTCCTTTCCATAATTTTTATTATTACTAACTTTACTCTTAATATCTTTTGTAAGTATTGATGAAAATATAAGTAAGAAAAATATTTATGGAAGTGAGGTAGTAGGTATAATAATAATCATAATAATAATAATAATGGTGCTAATAATAATTTAATTATTGTTATTATACCTTATTGTTTTATTAAAAAAAAAAGAGTTTTGTACAACATCAGGTCTGCACGGACGTGCAGAACATCGCACGTCCATGCAGATGCGGGCAGAAGCGACCAGTAACATAAGTTTGAAAATTTCAAGTTTGGCACGGACGTGCCAAACTAAGCACGTCCGTGCAAAATAGGTTGCACGTCCGTGCTTCTGGGTGCATGTTCGTACAACCTAAGGCAGATGCAGCAAGGCTTCTGGTCGGGGTTGCACATCCGTGCCATAGGGTGCACGTCTGTACGGCCCCTGACAGACGACTCTTCACGCATATTAACATAATTTTTTTTTCAACACTCCTCACTCACTCTAACTCGTGGTTTTCATCCTCTTTGTCTCTCTAAATTCTTCTCCTCCTTCTCTAAACTCACTCAAATTCCCTCAAACACTCAAAATCACACCAAAAATCAACAAATTTCTCCAAAATCTTCACTCCTTTTCAACAAATTCACATACTAATACTCCTCCTTTTTCCACATTCAAACCCAAAAATCACCAAATTTCTCAAACCCTAACTTTGAAAAAATTGATTTGGGGGTTTTCTTGTGGGCTAAAAATTAAAGCAATTGAGTGTTGGAGTAAGCTCAAGCAAGCATAAAGAAGGTTAAAAAGGTTCATTTGCGGGTTTTACACCCACGATAGACTCGGTATAATTGTTCATGAGTGAAAGATAGTTGATGATTGTCAAGCATTATTGAATTTGAATGCAATTTGGTGTGTTTTGAGAATTGGATTTTTGTAATTTTGGAATTGAGGAGTTGATTTTTGTGAATGAGAAACATGCTTGTTTGAGTGAGTTGTTCTGTTGGTTTGTTTGATAATAGTGCATGAAATTAATGGTGAGTTGTTGTGGATGCATTATTGAAGTAGTCTTGGTTCTTTGTTGATTAGCCTTGGCTTGTTTAGGTGGTGGACTTAGAACTTGAAATTGTTGTTAGTTGCATTGGTGCATTAGCTTGGCTTAATTGTGTTGTGTTTGTTGGCCTTGTTTGAGCTTTGATTGGTCGACTTTGTGGACCTAGTTTCTTTGTGTGGTTGTGTGGTGATTATTTTGTCTTGGTTTGTTTGATTGCATTGCATAAAGACCGACCATGAATCGAAGAAACCGACCTAGAAACGCGGATTCTAGGTACCGCAACCCTTCTCCTCCTCTCCCATGTTGATCCACCACAAGTGGATACTATGTGGATTGTGTTTAATGACCCGACCTTTTTGAACAATTACATTAGGATAAGTAGGAGGAGAATTAGTCCAACCAAACTCTATGATGAAAATGTAGCCGAGGCCTTGGGGGTAGTGGATGACATTAGGATGCTATTTGAGGGATGTGGCCTAGGTCGTTGGCTAGACTTACACGCCCTAACCTACAAGAGGTTGACACTTGAGTTCCTTTTCACACTCCAAGTGCAACAAGACACCAATGGAGTCCCCCGCCGCATTACCTTCCAACTTATGAACACCCAACAAAACATGAACATAAGGAGGGTAAACCAAGCCTTTGGGTGGCCAACCAACGGAACCATAGGACCAAGGGATAGGCCCCCTCGTAATTATTGTGCGGGTGAATTTTAGAGAAAAATCACCGGCCTTTTCGACTATAACCCGAGGACCGACAAGGCCACGACCATCATCCACCCCGCCTTTAGGGTTTCACAGCGCACCATAGCGAACACGACGTTCGCTAGAGATGATAGTTCATGAGTAATGTCCATTAGGGAGCTTCACTTCCTTTAGCACTTGAGCGAGGGTAGCACGACCACCTAGAGGATGTTTCCACAGGGTTCGGTAGCATTACCATAGGTGGCATGATCACCATTATTGCTTCTGCTCTTAATCTTAATTTTGCAGATGAGGAGGTTTGTCGAGGGCCGACGCAGCTTGACATGCAATCACCGAGGAAAATGAGATGGGTTGTGGATGCAGAAGGGCCACATCCTTACTTGTGGCATGTGAGTGCGCGGCCCTATACCTTCCTTCCCGACTCAGAGAGGATCTACATCTACGATGAGAGCAATTGGGTCTTTGAGAGGGACCATCCTTGTGTTCCCGGTAAAGAGGAAGAAGAGAATGGGAAACCTTAACAACAAGAGCAAGAGCATCAACAACAACAATTCCAACAACAACAGTCCTTTCAACAATAACAACATGAGTAACAACAAGGGTACCAACAAGGGTATCAACGTCAAGGTGTGGGTGAAGACAACTATAGACACCCAAATGTGTCTCCCCAAAACCAAACCCAGTGATGAATACCTTTCATGTCATTTGATTATTAAACAAATTGAAAGTGTGAAAAGTCTAGTGATGAGGATGTTTTAATTAAAATATCTCTTCTTTCTGTTTTTGAAAATATTTCATTTCTTACCCTATTTATGAAAAACGTGCATTCCAGTTTAATTTGGTCCATGATAAGGGTCCAATAATAGTGTAGTTGGATAGGGATCGAAAAGAGATTTCCAACGATATATTTTAAGCTCAATTTCGATGAATAATGAGGAAGTTATGGCCAAAATATTAAACTGGGTCTGGTTTGGTTCTTACGTACGGCCCAATGATCTAGAGGAGGGCCTATTATTAATTATTATACCTTAAGCTATTAGGATTGATTATAATTTTCTAGAATACTCTAGACAATTATTTTGAATCGTAATGGATTTAGGATTGATAATTATGTTTCAAAGAGTTTGAAATTGAATAAAATTACACCTTTTAAGAATCCTTG